GGCTGCCACCTCTCGAGCCGTAAAAGGATGAGAAAGCGCGAAAAAATGCACATATTTGGTGAGGCGATCCACCACCATAATCGTATCACGCCCCAAAGCCTTAGGTAAACCCCCAATAAAATCTACAGACACATCATCCCAAACTTGCTCCGGAATTGGCAATGGTTGCAGCAACCCGGCCGGTTTTAGAGCATCATACTTCACCCGCTGGCAAGTGTCACATTTAGCGACTAGGCGCTGAATATCACGCTTCATCCCTTCCCAAAATAAGACAGCCGCCAAGCGCTTATAGGTACAAAAGAATCCGGAATGACCCCCCACAGTCGAGGAATGGAACTCACGGAAAAATTTGGTAACCAAGGGAGAATGATGTGGTAATACCAATCTATCCTTGAAATAGAGCCGGCCACCCTTAAGTTGATAACCGGCTTTGAAGTGAGGATCCAACAAAAGCCCCTAAATAATTGGCCTCAATTTATCATCCTTCTGCACTTCATCCTCAATAGCTTCCAACTCACACATGTGCACAACGGAGAACACGTGCAAAAGAGGTTCCTCATGTTTTCTGGAAAGGGCATCAGCCACTCGGTTATCCCGCCCTGGCTTATATTGAATTTCAAAGTCCAAACCGATGAGTTTGCAAATCCACCGTTGCTGAGCCTCATTCATGATCTGTTGTTCGAGAAGGAACCGCAAGCTACGTTGGTCCGTTCGCACTATAAAGTGCCTTCCCAAAAGATGCCATTTCTTCGTAGCCAAAACAACCGCCATGAGCTCACGCTCATACACAAACCTGGAACGACCACGATCGGAAAGAGACTGACTGATAAAAGCAATAGGCCGATTGTCTTGCATCAAAACCGCTCCCAAACCGTGTCCAGACGCATTGGTCTCAATGATAAAAGTTTTGGTGAAGTCCGGTAAAGCGAGCACCAGAACAGAGACCATCCGCTGTTTTAATTCTTCAAAAGCCCCTGTGCGTCTGAGGTCCTTAAAAACACATCCTTTTTAAGGAGACGTGTTAAAGGCTCAGCTACCTTCC